TACAAAGGAGTCGGGTCCCACTTGTAATTTGTTTTTTTATAGTATTAGTTTATACCTAGTTGTACTTTAGTCATTCTAGCACAAAACATAGACAAATCAATTTCATTATGTTTTTTAGTGACTATCCCTTATATGACCAAAGTGTTTTTGCGTATATTTATAAAACCCCCCACCACTACAGAAATCAGTTTTAAAGAACTCACCCATAATAAGGTAAAAAAAACCACTATTTAAACCAAAAAGATGAATGTTTACGTTGACCCTGATCTAAAACCTCCATAATCTAACCACAATCAAAACTTATTGGAAATAACTGCCTTTATTACCAGCATCACAACCCAGCCTTTCCCTGAACCCTGTTCAAAGTTATCATTTCTTAACTACAACATAGGCCCCTTAAGAAAACACTATGATGACCCCCTGGTACCCTTGAGTCCTAAAGACACCCTTCTCCTGCATTATTCTTACTGAACCGGGCTTAAGAGGAACAATTGATATCCCCCACACCGGATAACGCAATCCCAACTGCAGCCATACCAATTAGGGGTGGTATTGCAATCTATTACTCAACCAACTATTTTGTATTACATAATTGCTTTATGATAATAGGGGGAAATTCTTTTTTGCAAATTTTTCTGTAAAACCCAAGACGCCTATAACAATCTGCCATATCCCGGATCCCCCCAAACAAACATCCCAAACTTCAGTGAGAATCTAAAGTCACAATAACAACAGCAAATGAAAAGCACCCCTTTCTTAGCTGGAACTTAAATATCAACCTTGGCCTACCAGATATGACTGAAACGTTTCATCAACAATATGAAAAACACATTCTCTACCAACAAAACTAAACCAACCCGGGCGACTGAAAAAGTGAAAAACCAAAATAGCCACATATGGACCAATATACTACCCCCCCTTAATCAGGGATAATCACAGACGCACTATTGACCATACCCAACCTTCCTCTTAACAAACATTAGTAACCCCCAACTCAATACAACAAAGTTTCATTTAGACTCCATGACGGGCCTAAATAAGGAATTTCACACGACCTAGGACGGGAAAGGGCCCTACAAATTCCCCAAATGCCAATGGATTTACGATTGGACAGAATTTTTTTTAAAAAATACTTAGACTATACAAAAAACTTTTCCTATAAAAACGAAAAAAGTCACGAATAAACGGCTTGGTTGCCCATGCTAACCAGCACATTCTGAAATCTATTTATAAGAAAACCAATATGAAAAGCAATACAGACGGGTTAAACACAAAAAATATTCTTAAACAATATTTAACTTCTCACCAAATTAATAAAAAAAGCCCAAACACTGATACTAAAGGCTTTTACGACACAAGAGGAGATTAAAAAAAACCTGGGGGAAAAAACATTCCCAATTCTGGGGACCCCCAAATGAAAAAACCAAGAACACTGTTCAACTAAAACCCCATGGAAAAACCACTGCATCTCACGTACGGGTAACACGAAAACGACTTTTCTCAAAATAGGTCAAACTCGCCAGTAAAATCCCCCGTACCAATGCCGTTTCCGGGGGTACTAGATGGGAATTTCCCCAAAATTTCCCTTTTATCTGTACCAATGAGCCCACGGGGTCCCGCGATCATAATGTCATTAAAAATAACCGGGGGGAAACGTCTACGTCCCACCATTTTTTACAAGGGCGGCCCCTGTCCTTTGCTGCTATTACATTATTTTTAAAAGTCACTAGAAACTAGCACTTTCCCGCATACTCAAGACAGCAAGGGTTACACCAATCTAAGGGGGTGACCCCAAACAAACAATTAGGGCCAATATCAAACTTTCCATTGCTATCCCAAAAACTTCGAGAAACTTGGCACAGGGGAAATTATTCATTTTAACATCACAAAAAAATACTCAACCCCCCGCCCTTGGATTTAGGAAAAAAAAAAAAGCACTAATGATGCAATTATAAAAATGCTAGATGTTTACACAGCAGGAAAAAAAGGAACATCGCTAGAAATTTTTTTTGACCAAAAAAAAAACGTTTGACACAGTAGACCCCGGCATCCTACTCCACAAACTTGACCCTTTGGTATAAGAGGCCATGCGTTGCATATTTTAAAATCCCCTTTCTAATGGTTCAGTATGTCACCCTTAAAGGCCAGCCTCATCAATACAGCCCCTTGTAAGGAGTTCTGCAGGGGGGTCCCTTGGGCCCCTTTCTTTTCCCCATTTTAATAAGATCTTAAAATTCCCACATGAAAAATTTTCTTTGTGGACAGACTAACACTACCCCATTTGCCCCCCCCACCATTGTTTAATGAGAGCTGCTCAAAAAGAGGAGTTTTTGGAAAAAAAAACCATTTAGTTTTGGTTGCAGAGGGTGTTTGGGGAATTTTTGTGAAAATTTTTGCCGCTAAGGGGGGAAAAACGGCCAATTGCAACAAAAACCTAAATTTAGCCCTTAAAAAAATCAAAAAAAATTGTGGGGACCCTGATGATTATTGAAATGGGAAAACCCCCAATTTTTAAAATAGTTTGTGGGGGTTTTTTTAAAAAATATCCCGCCCGGCCTTTCCCCCCCGGAAAATCCCCCCCATCTTGAAAATTAATTCTCCCTGCAGAAATCCCAAATTTTGGCCTTTCCGGCCTTTAAAAAATATTAATTGATAAAAGTTTTTTTGGGGGGGGGAAAAACCCGGAAAAAAAGCCAAAATTTTAAAAATTATGGTAAAACCTTTAAAAAATTCAAAAATTAAAAAGGGGTTTGGGGGGGGCCCCCCCGCTTGAAATGCGCATTCTTTTAAAAAACGTTGGGGTCTTTCCCCGATCCCGCCCTTTGGGGGGGGTCAAAAACCCCCCCCCTTGAAATATTTAAAAAAATTAACCCTTCTGTTTTCCATAATCAAAATGACACCTTTATTTGCCAAAAACAAAAGACCAGAAAATCCACAATTTTGATGTAGTTTGCTTAAAAACCATATTGAAGGAAAAATTTTAAAATTTTAAATTTTTTAAAAGTGTTAAAATGCCCCATCCCCCCTGTAATTATTTTTTTTAATTAAAACCCCCCAAAACCCCCTGTGGGGGTTGTTCCTTATAGAGAATAAACTTAAATTGAATGATGAAATTTTCAGGTAAACCTGTTCTATCTTGGGCTGGAATATTGCTGCGCACTAACAGCAACCTTTCAGGGCAGGTGAAATTGCTGACCTAGAAAATGTACAGAGAACCTTCATGGCACACATAATGAAATAAAAAAACCTAAATTACGGGAATGCTTGAAGTTCCTCAACCTATACTCCCTAGAATCCCAGGCAGGAGAGTTTTTTTTTTTATTTTTTTTTAACACACTGGCCGATTCCCACCAAGGCAGGGTGGCCCGACAAAGAAAAACTTTCACCATTTTTCACTCCTTTACTGTCTTGCCAGAAGGGTGCTTTACACTACAGTTTTTAAACTGTAACATTAACACCCCTCCTTCAGAGTGCAGGCACTTTCTTTCCATCTCCGGGACTCAAGTCCGGCCGCCGTTTCCCTGAATCCCTTCATAAATGTTACGTTGTTCCACTCAACAGCACGTCAAGTATTAAAAACCATTTTGTCTCCATTCCCTCCTATCAAACATGCTCACGGCATGCCTGTGGAAGTCCAACCCCCTCGCACACAAACCTCCTTTACCCCCTCCCTCCAACCTTTCCCTAGGCAGACCCCTACCCCGCCTTCCTTCCACTACAGACTGATACACTCTTGAAGTCATTCTGTTTCGCTCCATTCTCTCTACATGTCTGAACCACCTCAACAACCCTTCCTCAGCCCTCTGGACAACAGTTTTGGTAATCCCACACCCTCCTAACTTCAGGAGAGATAAAATGATTATAACATTTGGGAAAAATCCTGGAGGGATTAGTACCAATTTGCACACAAAAATAAACTCCCTATGACAGAAAAAGGGACTTGGCAGATAAGAACATAAGAACATAAGAAAGAAGGAACACTGCAACAGGCCTACTGACCATGCAGAGCAGGTCCATGTCCCCCCCTGGATTAGACCAATGACCCCCCCCCCCCCAGATTAGCCCAATGACCCACCCAGTCTGATCATCTCCCACTCAAGGAGGGAGCACTGCACCAGACCCAGCACACAAGCTAGTCGGGTCCAACTCACACCCACCCACACCCACAGATATGCAACATCCCCACAATGAAAAGCAGGGGTGCCACTAGCATGATAGAGACAACCACAATAAGTGTCAGGGGCCCAAGACTGTTCAACTGCCTTCAAGCATACGTAAGGGAAAATTACCAATAGGCCCCTGGCTCTCTTCAAGAAGGCACTTGACAGGCATCTGAAGTCAGTACCTGACCAGCTGGGCTGTGGTTTGTACGTTGGGTTGTGTGCAGCCAACAGCAACAGCCAGGTGATCAGGCCCTGATCCACCACGAGGCCTGGTCACAGACCGAGGTGTGGGGACATTAACCCCTTGAAATCTCCTCCAGGTATGCTCCAGGTAATTGTTTTACATGATGGTAGGATTGCTGGTGTCTTTTTTTCTGTCTCATAAATTTCAAGTACGTCTTGTTACTTCTACTTACACTTAGGTCACACAACACATGCATGTGTACAAGCATATATATACACACACACACCCTTCTGGGTTTTCTTTTTTCTTACTGGTTCTTGTTCTTGTTTATTTCCTCTTATCTCCCTGAGGAAGTGGACCAGAATTCTTCCTTTGTAAGCCATGTGTGTCATAAGAGGCAACTAAAATGCCAGGAGCAAGGGGCTAGTAACCCCATCTCCTGTATACATTACTAAATTTATAAAGAGAAACTTTCATTTTTCTTTTTGGGCCACCTTGCCTCAGTGGGATATGGTCAGTGCACTGAAAGAAGACTAATAAAATAAAAAAAATTTCAATTTGTCTAATAAAATTAAATACAAACAAAATCAATACATAAGCTACAAGTTAATAGACCAGATCAAAATGTTGTCAAATGAGTGAGATTAAAATACCTGTAATTTCTGCTGATGAGTAGGGAAGTTTGAAGCTTTGATGTTGAGGGTGTTGCTTCCCGAGAAGCAGAGCATCTCTTCACAGCTGGTATTCCAAGCCACACTGTTTGCATTTGGTTCCTAATAAACACAAGCTAGTTAACAATCTCCTTCATAAGAACTACAGTACATTACAGTAATGAGCTGGTAAATATACAGAACCCAAGAAATGAATAAGCTTTTGTTCCTAGTGTTCCAATCTATGAACAAGTTGTTTGTAGCAAGAACCATCCTTTGTTTCAATAGTACAAAGATTTGTTTTTCTGATGTGTGTGTGGTCATGACTGGGGATCAACATCTGAAGCCAAATTGTTTTTAAATATTATTTCTCATGGACCTCATTCTTAACCCTTAAACTGTCCAACGTAGATCTACGTTTGCTCGCGTAGCGCACTGAATGTATATCTATGTTTTTTTACATTCTTTCTTATGGAGAAAATCAAAGGGCGGAGCACGCGCCCGCAAACATAGATCTACATTTGGACAGTTAGAGGGTTAAGCGTGGATGATCACAGCTCGGATATTTATGAGCTGAATATTTTATATACAGTACCCTGAAAATTTAAATTAAAAACCATATTTCATAAATTTCTGCCCTTCCATGCATAATTCTTATAAGAATGACTAATACAGTGGTACCACAAGTTATGAACTTAATTCATTCCAGAAGGCTGTTCAAATGCCGATACCCAATGAATTTGTTCCCATAAGGAATAACGTAAATTAGATTAGTCCATTTCAGACCCCCAAAATACACTTGCAAAAGCACTTACAAAAAAACACTTACATAATTGTTTGAGTTGAGAGCTGTTGAAACTCGAGGTACCCCTGTACAATACATACCTACATTTCTGCCCTTCAATGTATGTTTCACATACAGTAACTAATGTGATATATTTATACTGTACATTTATCAGTGATAAGATGAAAAATATAATAACTTTCCTGGGAAAAGCAATTCTGAGTCAGAAACATTATAACAAGAATGTGGTTTATGCTCATCAACAACTGCCAACTTGTTCCTAGAAGAACTCAAGTCTAAGCAGCGTTTTAGCTGCTGGGGAAACCTTTAGCAAGGCTACTGGGAAGGCATTGTCAAGGAAGATCTTTAAAACCTAAAGATGTAACATACTAGAATTAGTTTAAATTATAAACATTAAAGCTTTTAAAATGTTAATTCTAATTACAGTAGTTATTACCACGGGATAAAAGGCATAAAAATTAAATATTGGAACTTCTCTCTAAATGAATGACATATTTGAACTATTTAATAAAATGTGGCTTTAATTTTATGATGCTTTTCATCAAACCCAGCCCTGTAGACCATGTTTAAACCTACTCCTCACCCTTTAAAAGTTCAGGCAAAAAACTAACAAAAAGTAAAATAAGATAAATACACTTTATTTTTATTTTATTAACCCTTTGACTGTTTCAGGCCCCTCTCTGAAACTGTCATTCTATGTCGCCAAATATTCAAAAAAAAAAAAATTATTTTTTCTTATGAAAATGTTAAGATTATTTTTCTGAGTGTTTAGTCCAAAAAAAAAATTTTTGCCATGGGTTTACTTACCGAGATATAGAGCTGTGAAGTTTGCAGAAAATGAGCTGCGTATGGCAACAGCGGCGACTGCCGCTCACCCGGTAAACTTTAGTTTACTTGTAATTGAAGGTTTTTTGTTTTTTTCACTATTTTATTTTTTCACATAACTTATGTGGCCTATGAGACCAAAGTAAGGTGCAATGTATATATATACACTCGTTGTATACAACACAATAAGCACACAAACATAATTATCAATATATTGTTTACAAAACTTGTTTACAAAAACAAACAAACAAACACTACTACTACTACTACTACTACTACTACTACTACTACTACTACTACTACTACTACTATTTCTTCTTCTTCTTCTTCTTCTTCTTCTTCTTCTTCTTCTTCTTGTCTTGTGTGGGAGTGTGTGGCTTATAATTGTTTTGAGTCAGAAGTCAGCAGCTGTCAAAGTGACATATTGTCTCATTAGTCACTACCCCTACTGCCTGTCAAAACAATGGGGTCGGATGCTGCTTCCCCTCCTCCATTCTATCTAATTATCTTTCTCCCTCATTCTATATCTTTCAATCTGTCTCTCTTTCTATCTGTCTGCCTATCTCTGTCTCACAGGTACACATAAATACAAGTATACATAGTGTAAATTACCTAGGATAACCCAAGAAATCCAGACAAAGTGCTATACTCTGCTTGAAGATGTGAGTAAACGTGATGACACAGTCTTGTGGCTCTCTGAGACAGAGAGCTAGATGGACAGACAGGGAGCTTGACAGACAGACAAATAGACAGACAGAAATGTTTGTGTACCAGCAAAAACAAAGGGAGGGCGATGGTCATGTAATATTACCCTCCTTTACGCTCATCAAAGTCAGCTCTTATCAGATGTTATCTCCCCTTATCTTGTCACTGTCATGGGGTGGACTTTTTTTTTTCTTGCTTCAAGGGAACAATATTATTACATCTTCTTCTTCCTCCTCCTCTTCTCCTCCTCCTCCTCCTCCTCCTCCTCCTCCTCCTCCTCCTCCTCCTCCTCCCTCCTCCTCTTCCTTCCCTCGTCCTCCTCCTCCTCTCCTCTTCCCCCCTCCTCCCCCTCCTCCTCCTCCATTGCTTTTGGTCTCAACTCCTCCAAATCATGAAATTGATCTTCAAATGACACTTCCATCTGTGTTAGAGCATCACTTGGGAAGAGAAGAGTCCCAGATTTGCTGGGGAATCACATATTTCTTACCACTAGACATGCTGAAAAATGACAACTGAAATGGCATTCCCACAATGCACCACTGGCTCCCCGATTTTTTTTATATGGTGCACACTGACCATGGAGACCCATTCTCTCACATGTGGGCCTAGCAGCTTTCTCCTGCTTGATTTGAAGCTGCTAGAATTTATGCGTATAAATACGTCAGAAACATTGGCTCGTAAGACGTATTTATACGTCGGAAACAGTCAAAGGGTTAAAATCATGGAAAAAAAGTTGTTTGCCAGCTTTAGAAGTGTCAGAACATAACTTTATTTTTTCATTATGTGCTATACTTCACATACAACTAAATTTCATACAGTGCCAATTTTCAGGAATGTATCCCAATATTGTAAGGGGGTTTAGTGTAGAAGGTTTTTTGTCTCATATGTGAAACATATCTGTTGAGACATTTTCATATTATCTTCCAGAAACAGAAAAGAAAAAGAAAAATTAATTGCAAATAAAGTTACGAGAAAGTTCAACTTAAGTCATACCTCACATATATCTAATTTACAGCATATACAGCAGGGGCCCGCTTTATGGCGTTTCACTTTACGGCATTCCGCTAATACGGTCATTTCAAATTATGACCAAAACTCGCTATACGGCTCCCCCCACCTGACTTTCTAATATGGTCACCGCGCCCCACCTTGTTTGTTTACATTCATCGTGAGCTCAGTAATCACTAAGTCTCTCCATTTCGTCTGGAAACTCCAAAATTTCAAATGTTTTTAAAAGTTATTTCATATTTTATATATACTCTGATAATTATACTTATGTATACCTGTACTTAAATAAACTTACATACTGTGCTGGCATGCAGGTACACATTAAAATCAGTAAGAGTGTCTTATGTCTCCAGACGTCATATTAGTAATGATAATAATAATCATCAAGTCTCATTTAAATGTCGTATATTACGTTAAATACACATTTTCATTAATCCATCTATGATATTTTTTCAAAATTATATAATAAACACGATACATAACATAAAAAGATGATAAATACACCCCACAATAGAATAAATAAACATAAATATGAGATGTGGTAGCAGACGACTTGCACAAGTGACGCCATATTAGAAATGCTAATAATAATAATAATAATCACCGAGTCTCATTAAATGTTGTATATTACGTTAATATACACATTTTCATTAATCCATCCATGATATTTTTTTCAAAATTATATAATAAACACAAATACATAACATAAAAAGATGATAAATACACCCTACAATAGAATAAATAAACATAAATATGAGATGTGGTAGCCAGATAACTTGTACAAGTGATGCCAAGAATAACATTTTCTCTAATCTAACATAAGAGAAAATGTGTTACTGGGGTAACTGTAGAAAATTATTCCTTTCGTATGTATGTAAGTAAGTTTATTCAGGTATACACAAATACAGTTACATAGATTATCATACAATAACAACATATGTGTAGAGAACCTAGGATAACCCAAAAAAATCAGAGTGACTTATTTCCATTGCCTTCACTCAGAGCATCATTTCTTTTTCAAAATGATGTTACATGAGAATGGGAGTGTTCTTCTTTATTTATTCTACCGTATCCAATGTAGAGACAACCTGTACACAATGTAACTTGTACACAAACCAGACGTGTACACTTCGTTTACAAAACTTACCTTCGCCTGGTTTGTTTACATAACTCTGCGCCTGTCCTCTCTCATGCACTCATTCTTTTCTCTCTCATTTATTCATTTTATCTCATTTACTTACTCCTGACCCTACATTAAGACTACAAATATTTTAAGGTAAGTAATGAGTGAACTGTATATACATTTTATCGCTCTGGATGCTTAAATGTAATTTGAATATTATGTGTAGGTGGGTTGGCCTGGTATGGTAGCCCGGCTGACTACCATACATACCACACTTGATTTTTTACAATAAATACTACTCATCTCACCCTATATTTTAAGGTAAGTAATGAGTGAACTGTATTTTACATTTTATCGCTCTGGGATGCTTAAATATCATAGAATTGTATTGTGTGGGTGGGGTGGCCTGATATGGTAGTCTGCCTGACTACCATACATACCACACTTGATTTCTTACAATAAATACTACTTGTCTCACCCTAGATTAAGACTATAAATATTTTAAGGTAAGTAATGAGTGCACTATGTGTGTATTGTACTTTTTTATTGTTTTTTGATGCCTGGTTCTATTGCTAACTTAATATATGTTAGTGTAAACTTGTTATCTAGTGTTTGTATGCATTTGTAAGTGGAAAAAAAGGGTGTTCCACTTTACGGCGGTTTCCGCTTTATGGCGGTAGCCTGGAACCTAACCAGCCGTATAATTGGGGCCCTCCTGTAATAAGATTAGCATGATTATTATTATTATTGCTCAAAATGATGTGTGTGTGATGGCAACTTCCTTGTTCTCCCACTTGTCCATTCTTGAGTCTCAAGAGTAGACCTTCCCTGTTAGCTGGTCCGCCCACAACCTTGATGTATCGGAGGACGTCTTATCAAAGAATTACTCTCAGGGATGGAGAATTTTCAGAAAAAAATTATTTTTTTGTCATGACATGGTAGAGAATATTTTTCCGAAGGTAATCACACCAAAACGATAAAATTTTTTGAAAACTTACAGAATTACGCTCTTGGAAAACTAGCCATTTTGGCAATATTTATGAATCAGTATTTTCACCAACTTTGAGCCCTATTTTTGGCCAATTCCTTTGTTTCAGTCCACCAAACTGCCTAGCCATGCTAGGCGTTCTAGTGGTACACTCTGTAATCATTATTTAACTACATGTAAACCACACAACAACCAAATTCTGTAAATTCAACATTGTAATCTTTATAGAGAATAAACTTTGAATTTGAATTTGAATTTAATCGACAAAGTAAAGGAACCGCCCAGTTACCTATTTCAACTACCCAATAAAGTGATCAGAAATCTCACTCTAATATACCCTTACCTCACCTATGATATTTGTACTTGGTTATCTACCACAACTAATCACCATTAATAACCCAACAAAAAGCTGCGGTGAGGATGGTCATGAACTCCTGCACAAGACAACACACCTCACCACTCTTCAAGAGCTTAAACTTACTTATTATACAAAATATACACACTTATTATTGTGCCAACTACACATACAGAACATTAACCCTTTGAGGGTCCATCCCATAGTTCTATGGCTTTGAAGCCTGTGTCAAAGCTGTAGACCTACAGCTTGAGCTCAGCTCACTCATATAAGTTGTAAGTGGTAAATTTGGGACTAGATATGAGAGAATACATCTATGTGGTAAGTGTGCACCACATAAAACAAATA